CCCCCCCCCCAAAAAAGGACAAGAATCCCAGGATCTGTGTTATGGGGGTAGATCCCATCCCCAGCAGTTTCAGATCGAGTAGAGTCCATCACGTCGGAATTTTTGCTGACGCATCTCCTAGACACCAGCCAACATTTGTGACTTTACGTCCTTTTTTTCTTAATGGGGAAAATAAATAATGTTAATAGGATACTTATATGTTACTAATGGGATACTTATAGATTGCTAATGGGATACTAATAAAACTGTCCCGCTAACAGGTGTTTAGTGAGTGTTCGAATTGGCAGCCAGTAACTCAAGTTTGCTTTGCTCGCTCTACCTCATCCACTTAACTTGGGTTATCTCAGGGAGCCTTAACAGATTTATGGCAGGCTTCCTTGGCTGGAGGAGCCACATGACATGGGCACCACCCCAGAGAGCTTCTTCTGCTAAGGGTTTGACCAAGCCAGCCCTGAACACGAACTTTGCAGGCATTCTTCTCTTTTACAAGACTTAGAAGCCATGGGCCATATATCTGACTTGAGATGTTCTTCTCAAGACGATGCATCATAACTTTCATGATTCCTGGATGGTTGGAAGCTGGAGGACCCATCCCTTCGGTCCTGACTTCCTCACAGGATCGTAAAGTTGGGACGGACCATGGGGGTCTTCTGAAGATTTCTGGAGAGTATGATCAGAAGCTCAGAGGACCTGTCCCTTTGCTCCTGACTTGCTCATAGAATCATGGAGTTGGAAGGAACCATTGAGATGTTCTCCTGGTTCCTGGAGAGCATGGTCAGAAGTTTGAAGGACCTGGCCCTTCCGTCCTGACTTGCTCATGGAATCATAGAGTGGGCTGGAATAGACCTGAACCATCATACCCAGGTGGCCCTTAAGGGTGCGATATTGTGTGTTATTTAGGAGGTTCCATTTTGTGTTCCTGTCTCATCCAATGGGGGCCAGGATGCTGATGGGATGGAGAGAGGAAGGAGGAGGGGGGAAAATGGATGAAGAGGATCAGAAAATGGAGGGAAGGAGGTATGGGTAGATGGATGGATGGATGGATGGATGGATGGATGGGGAGGAGAAAATGGATGAAGAAGACCAAAAGATAGGTGCGTGGGTGGGTGGATAGACAGACAGACAGACAGATGAAGAAAATGGATGAAAAAGACCAAAAGATGGATGGATGGATGGATGAGAAGAAGAAGAAGAATAGATGAAGACCAGAAGATAGATGGATAGATGGATGGAAGAGAAGGAAGAAATGAATGGATGAGGAGGGATGGACAG